ATTGGTTCTGACTTCATGCCAAGGTAAAGCTGGACAAGCTCCACTGCCTTATTGTCCAGGTTGACTGTGTTGATATAGACTTCTCCAAACACGCTCTCATTTCCTTGTTGTGAGGCCTCGGTGCGGTCAGTTCTCAGCTATGCTTAAGTCCATTACATATCACCTAATGTCTGCAGCTGAACCTTGTGCTGTGAACATGCTGCTCTTAATCTCTGCTAAATAATATCACTCTTTGTTTTCGACATTAGTGTATGTTTTAAAGCCTTTGCCAAAGGTTTACGTAATGTCTTTGCAGTAATATAAATCCAATGGGTCTTTCTCTCTCACTTGCTTTCAGATTGGTATATAGTTTACTTTTAGTTAGGCCTTTATATAGGGGTATACAGTTACAGCCAAAGACAGAATTATTACCCACTGTGAATATTTTTTTAAAAAGTATTTCACGTCATGCTTAAAAGAACAAGGACATATTACCACATATATATATATATATATATATATATATATATATATATATATATATATATATATATATATATATATATATATATATATATATATATATATATATATATATATATATATATATATATATATATATATATATATATATATATATATATATATATATATATATATATATATATATATATATATATGTTATATAGACAGCAACAGCCATCATTAAAGAGACTTCAAGCTATTTTCATACTCAAAGTACAATACACAAACACACACTGCTCCAAATGTCCATTTAAACAACTTTTCCAAACCTATTTTTTATTTATTAGACATCAAAATAGCCAAACAATCACCTGTTTGTGTTATAAATGCTACAGAATTGTTTATTTTCCAATATACATCATACTTTTTCTTAAGATTGAACTCTTAGTGTGTAAGGTCCACCCAGTTGGCCCAATGAAGGTGTCCACTGGTGGATGAGGGTTCACTGCGTGTTCGGCCTTACCAGTGCACAATGTTGTTTCAGTTCAACTTTAACTCATTTCTGACTCCAATTTGAATATGAGGTGGTTTAGAATATTAATATATTTATCTTTAGACTCCAATCATAAAACATTAAAAATATTATATCAATATATAATTTAGACAAATGTTTGAACCTTTTGTTTTCACTCGTATCAATTACATTTGTTCATTCAGATGCTCATGTCGCTCAGAGGAATCGCCCAGGCCGACAACATCCCTCACGCTCACACTCTCATCAGTCTTGATTATTAAACAGAGGTTATAGGCTCCTTTGCTCGCTCATTCTAAAGTATTTTTGATTAGTCACCCTTTCATGTACACCCTTAAGTAAAGGCAATATCATTTCTAATCAGAGGTCAGGCCATTGTTCTAAATCATGAGCATTATTATTAGTATTATTATGATCATCATCATAATCATCTTCATAATTATCATCAGCATTTTTATTATTATTATCATAATCATAATTATCAGCATTATTATTATTATTGTCATCATCATAATTATCTGCATTATTAATATAATAATAATAATAATAATAATAATAATAATAATTATTATTATTATTATTATTATTATTATTATTATTATTATCATTATCATTATCATTATTATTACTATTATATTAATATTATTATTATATGCACTTTTTACACTCAAAGACACCTTACAACAACAAAAAATCTTTAGAGCAACAAACATTATTATAGCCGAACACAATCTAAAACAAACACTCCAAAGCTTATATCTAAAAAAGATCTTAAGGCAAAATGTTTAAAGTTCATACCCTTAAAACACCATTAACAAAATTGCACTGAATATTGACACTATTAAAGCGAGTTTACAGCAGTAGCATCTAACTTTAATTAATGTGAATGTGCATTGAAATAATGTAGTCACTACTTTTTATTTAAAAGCATACTTTACATGCCAATTTGCATATAACAGCTGCACAAATAATGTTGTATATAGTAATATAGCTGTACATACACTTGTCAATTTGTGTATTTGCATTTACTACTTCTATTTTTAAAATATATTTATTATCTGTTTTATTTGATTTATTTATTTTTTTGTCCTGTCTCTGTAATTCTGTTGCACTGTAGGAGCCCTGTCAACAAAACAAACTCCTCATATGAGTGAAAATGCCTGGCAATAAAGCTCTGATTCTCTATTTAGTCACACTACAACATTTTTGCTATTGATCAATCATTAACTGCCTATTAATAGTTATCAAGGTAGTCTGGTTTAGGTATTGAGGATTGGGGATGCAGAGAAAATCATGCAGAATATGTGCTTTATAAACATTTATTAAAAGCCAATATCTTAATAGCAGGCAGGTAATAATACACTAGTTAATAGTGAGAATTGGTACTTACACTAAAGTGTTTTCAAATATTGATAACACCATAAACGTTCAGTGATAGCTTAATGTGACTATTTTCAATTTCACATGGTTGTTTTTACAGCATTAATGTTGTGGTATAATTCTAATACATTCAGTTAAATAGACTTAAGCATTCATTTAGTTGTTCAAGCGTAAAACGAGATGACAGTAGCAACAGGCTAGCGCAGAAATTCAATTGAATACTGGGGTAAAAAAAGTCATATTTTAAAGACATGGCAGGGGGAAATGGAGTTTAATGCAGTGCTTCTTGTCCGATCTGAGACCCACTTCATATCGTATATCTAACAGGCAGTGAAGATCACTAAGTTTTAAAGAAATCAGTTCTTAAACGTGACAATTTTGACAATTCACCGGAAGACCTTGAGCTGCCTGGCTAAAAATGTAAGTGTGTGCATATATACCAATGAATATATATATATATATATATATATATATATATATATAGATATATATATATATATATATATATATATATATATATATATATATATATATATAT